TGAGAGTGGTGATGGCTCAAATTAGGGTTTAAAGGTTTGAAATACGTGAGTGAGAGATAGGGGGAGAGAGAAAAAGAGATTACAACTTGACAAAAATAGACTGACCTTTAATGACTATATTACCCTTTAGTATATTAAAAATTTACAATATCATCCCATGACTTTTAGAAATTTACAATTTCATCTAATGACTTTTATAAATTATATTAGCCTTAGATCATAATATTTGAAGAGCTCAGATTTATTCTCGCGTTCTCAACTTTTTTTGTTTTTTTCATTTTATCTTATTCCTATATATATATATATATATATATATATATATATATATATATATATATATATATATATATATATATATAATTTTTTTTATTTTGAATATTGACCGTTTGCAACGGTCATTAGCCCAACGTTCAATTTTTTTCCCGTTTTAATATGTCGCAACGCCCACGAGAATTGGCTCGATGAGATGCAAAGAGTACGGGGGCGGTGTTCCCCCTTTTATGACGGCGTTTCCGCCATCCACCTCAGCTACGTCGATTCTCGTTGAGACCCATACCGTCTCGTCTTAGAAGCAATAACACATTAATTAAACTCAATAAACACTAATATATGCAATACTTGAAATCATTAGCATGAGTTAATGTTTAGAAGAAATAACCAAAGTTAACTCATAATTAACTTTCTAACAACATAGAAACCTTTAGTTTTACAAATGTTTAATTTATTTTATAATTTACTTCATTTAATCATATTTATATATGTTTACATTAATTTACTTTATTTTGTTTTTGCAATGTTTTTTATTATTTATTATTTTATTTTTTATTTTTACTAAAACGGCATTCTAGCACAAAATACGGATGTTACTACCTTTAGTCCTTGAAATCACTAAGAAAACTAAATGTCATAACTAAGATTATGTAAACTTGATCCTAATAAAATGCTAAGCTTGGATTCCACCTTATACCGTTACATATGCTTATTGGAATCAAAAAAGGTTTTCCTACCACTAAAAGTAGTTGCCCAAAGGTAGTTCCCATATAACGATAAAAAAAATATATTTGCTGATAATGGGGTTTAAAATAATATATGAACTTGTATCCTCCTATTGTTGGTCATCTATGTGATCGTCTAGGGGTATTAAAAAATGTCTAGGGATGTTCAAAACTATTTGTATACGAAAATTCTGAGCAAAAAGTATCGAAATGGATAATTGAAGATCGTATACATGAGATCTCATATGATGATGATGATTAATTTACTATTTTTAAAATGGACATTGGACATTAAGAGTAGAAAGAGAAACTGAAATGAAAAAATATTACCTTCGCCTGATGGAGTCATGAAGCTTTTTAGACTATTAACAGTTTCAAGGACCATACGTGCAACTTTTGAAAATAATGAGGATATCAATTTTGAAAACTTAAAATGTAGATTGGTGTAAACAAAGTAGACCAAAAGTGTAGTTTACTCTTTATAATTTTAAATCAATTACTTGTAAAGTAATTAATCAATAATTACTTTTTTTACGTAATATTAACTGCAAAATATAATTATGCTTGCTTTTCAAATATCTGGAGTCTGGACCATTTCAAGTTTTCAACCAACTCTCTATTACGTTTGGGCCCAACAATATTTCAATCAATTTTCATTTATTTTTCGGCCATTATTTGTTACGTACAACGATTAAGCGCTTACGTACAACACCATAGAGCGTTTCTGCCGTCTACAAGTTCTTAAATCTATAGTATTAAATTAAATGCAACCAATTAATTATCTTTTCAACACGATACACATTGTTGGCGCATATGAACATGAATTATTCTAACTAATTAAATGTATATTTAATAATATCCAATTTTAAAAAATATACATTTGAAGCTTGAGGATATTTTGTCAATTCATATTAACATGGCTTAAAATGCTATTTATATGAACTCTATACACTGTTTATTTATTTTTATTAAATTATGTGGAAAATCAAACTTTTGTAATTGATAAATTATTAATTAAGGAAAAAACATAATGATTGCATGACTTTGGTACCTTACAACACATATTAGTGGATCCTACTTCAAAAAATAAATATATATTTTCACCTAAATACTACAAAGAAAAATACAAAATAAAACAAATTACACCGAGGCAATATAAAAGAATCCAAAATGAGAAAATTTTCACCAGCCTAATCATAAAGAACATCCTTCTTCAACAAGATAAATACTAATGATTCCCTTATAAAAATAACATTTCAAAAGGATAAAATTAATGATTACAAAAATATTATGTGAGTTGTGAAGTTATTAATGATGCGGGTGTAAAATAGATAAGATTTTCTTTGGTGCAAGTTATCTCAATTTAAGCTATCAAAAATATATATCAAACTAGTCTATCCAAGCTTATAAATTATTTTATTTATAAGTTACAATAAGTTATTTTATTAAATATTAAATTATAATAAACTAGCTTGTTTATTTATGCCAAAGAGGTTCTAACTTCTTATGAGCTGAAAAAAAAATGTAGGATATCCTAAAATAGCTATTTAAAAAAAAAAAAAATCTATCACAAAATATTTTTGTTTTTTCACGAAAAACATGATGAAATATCATTTTTTATGAATTTTTTTTTTTGAGTTCACGACAACATATTTCAACTTTATAATTTGTTTCGAGAAGTTATCTTTCTAGTATTTTTTTCTACAAATAAAACGATAAATATTTGTCTAAGATAATATGTCTTTTAAATATGAATAAAATTAGGATTAATAAAAATCTAAGATGTTCGGTTCTCATGAGATAGATGTACTAGTTTATGGATACCTATTTTGAATTTTCTTTTTTTCATCCCATGTGTTTTGTATGAGAACATAAAATATTTTTAGTTTATTAAGCTTGTTATGTTTTACTCTGGTAACTAGTAATTAGTTAACACTTTTTGTTTTGGGGTAGAAGGCAAATAAAAGGAATGATAGAATCACTACACTATGAAGGCTAACTATACCTTTTTGATAAAATATTTTTTTAAAATATTTTTTTAATTGATAAACCCAAAAATGAGTTTATAAATTAGTTTTTATTTATTTATTTTAAATTTTACTTAGACTAGCTTGAAAACATTTTTTTAAAAATATACTACTTAATTAATTATATAAAATATCTTTTTTTAAAATGTTTTTTATGTTATTTTTTATTTTTTTAGCTAAATTATCAGTTAGTTTACTAAACGTTATTTTATACCGGTTAACTTTTTAACTATCAATTAATTTTTTCTTATAATAGAATTTTTTCGCTATCAATTAATTTTTCAGCTAACAACTAATTTTTCAACTAATACGCTAAACATAATCTACAAGTGATGTACCGAATATATTTAAATTTCATAGAAAACTTATGTTAGAAAAGCTTAAAGTTTTGTTTATTCCATGAAAATGATATAATTTTTGCCATATATATATATATATATATATATATATATATATATATATATATATATATATATATATATATATATATATATAATATATATATATATATATATATATATATATATATATATAAAGTTCGTGAATTAAATGTCGGAAAAAGTTATTTCATAAATTAATTTATGAGTCAAACAACAAAGATTTTTGTATAAATAAACAATAATATTGTGATTTATGTTTAACATATGATTATTTTACGATATACATTTTCATGTTTCTGGTATCTTTTTCTATTAATTCTGAAAGTAGGTTTATTTAATTGTACATATAGACAAAATTTTCACCTTCAATTTTAATATATATATATATATATATATATATATATATATATATATATATATATATATATATATATATATATATATATATATATATATATATATATATTCTAGAATTACAAATATACATACTGTCAAAGTTCAACCTTAATTACTTTAAATAAATAACAATAATCTATTATTAAATAAAATAACTAACAAACATATAGATTTGATATATTATTAGATCATTCACATTTTTATAATATTCAGTTTTGTCGTGTACCCATTCTTTTTATATCCCAACTAAACAAATGCAATAATAACATTTAAAAAATTGTTTCTACCGGCACACACTAACAAGTATTTTACATTTTTTTTATAAATATATTAATATATTAATAATTAATAATTACTCAATAATATATAAATATAATTATAATTACTATTATATTAAAATAATTATTTAATAAATAAAAAAAATTATATATAACCGTAGCGGATAAACAAACAATAAGGTGTGCCGCAACCAAATATAATATAGTATTAATATTAGTTAATAAGTATTGTCACCGTTATAAAACTAAAAATAAATAAATATTGATAAACCCGATTTAATAGTTTACGCACACATATTTGAAAAATGTTACTTATTATAACAATTACTATTTTAACAATTTTTTCATCACATTGATTTTTTGAATAAGTTTATTACAAATTTAGTTATTACATACGATTTTAAATATTAATTCGTTTAAACAGATTTACAATATATATTATTGTTTTTATCTTATTGTATTATACTAGTGTACTTGTCAATTTGTTACACAACTATGTTTATTTGCAATAATGTTGCTACCAAATTTGAGTCTTTTTATTTTGGAATTTATTGTTATCAAATTTCTGTTGAAACTTAACTGATAGTATATATTTTTTAGTGAACTGAAATATATATATAAGATAGATTCAGATTACAATGTTTTATTAAATAAAAAAAGTTCTTTTTAATTGTTGGCTGCCAGCAAAACGACACTACTTTTTCTCCTTTTCCTTTTAACAATATTCCTTCATCCATCCATCCACCTCTCGTGATTTATTACTCTCTCTCTCTCTCTCTCTGACCAGACATTCTTTCTCTCTCTAAAACCTCCCTCCCCCCTCTAATGGCCGCCTGTCGCCGGAAACCTCCAAAATAACCACCGCCCACCACCTACTCATCTCCCTTTCCTCAACTACAAACAAAATCACAGTGCATTTCTCCCATGGCTCGTTTTGCCATTTTACTCTTTTCACTTTTCCTTCTGAGCCACCGACTCACATCCGAGCCGACACAGGACAAGCAAGCGCTCCTTTCATTCATCTCTCAAGTTCCTCACGCTTCTCGTATCTCATGGAACGCGTCGGAATCAGCTTGCTCATGGATCGGCGTTACTTGTGACCCAACTAACTCCTCCGTCATCTACCTCCGTCTACCTGGCGTCGACCTCGTTGGGAGCATACCACCGAAAACCATTGGAAGTTTATCTCAGCTCCGTGTTCTGTCACTCCACTCCAATGGCCTCACAGGCGGCCTCCCTTCTGATTTCTCCAATCTCGCTTTCCTTCGCAGCGTTTACTTGCAGGATAACAGGTTTTCCGGTGGGTTCCCACCGAGTCTATCCGAGTTGACTCGTTTAACCCGTTTAGATCTCTCCCGCAACAACTTTTCCGGCTCGCTTCCGTTTTCCATCAACAATTTAACCGAACTCACTGGGCTTTTCTTAGAGGACAACGCTTTTTCCGGCCAACTTCCGAGTATAAGCCCGGCGAGTTTAGTCGCGCTGAACCTCTCAAATAATAATCTAAATGGTTCGATTCCTACGTCGTTGGCTTCGTTTCCGGTATCTGCATTCTCCGGGAACATTAATCTCTGCGGTGATCCTTTACCCGCTTGTAATAGCTCATTCTTCCCTTCCCCGGCGCCATCTCCATCTTCGGATGAACCACCGGCATTACACAAAAAATCAAAGAAGAAGCTATCAACCGGGGCAATTGTCGCTATTGCAGTCGGATCGGCGCTTGTTCTAGCTTTATTGTTGCTAATCCTACTCCTCTTTTTACGAAAAAAGAGAAATCAGCGGAGCAAACAATCTCCAAAACCTCCGTTACCTGCTTCAACAGCTGCTTCCAGAGGGGTTGCCGAAGCCGGGACTTCTTCATCTAAAGACGACATTACCGGCGCGTCGACGGAAGGTGAGAGAAACAAGTTAGTGTTCTTCGATGGCGGGATTTACAGTTTTGATTTGGAAGATCTGTTGAGAGCATCAGCTGAGGTTTTGGGGAAAGGGAGTGTTGGGACGTCGTACAAGGCGGTGTTGGAGGAAGGAACGACGGTGGTTGTGAAGAGACTGAAAGATGTGGTAGTGACAAAGAAGGAATTCGAATCACAAATGGAGGTTTTGGGGAAGATGAAGAACGAAAATGTGGTTCCATTGAGAGCTTTCTATTTCTCAAAGGATGAAAAATTGCTTGTTTCTGATTACATGCCTGCTGGTAGCTTATCTGCTCTTCTCCATGGTAATAATTTCTTCATCTTTCTCACCACATTTCGAGTTATTTATTCCATTTTTGATTGATTTATT